ATATTATGTTACATGATATTATGTTGAATTTATAAGGGAGACAAACTTTTAATTATATTATGTTAGATTATGTTGTAGATAATGTTTTAATTATATTATGTTGTAAATGTCAAACTTTTAATTATGTTTGGATATTCTATAATTATGTTAGATTATTTAAAATGTTAGATTTATTTAAAATTTTGGATTATGTTTGTTTGGTCTTGGTCTTGGGCTTGGGCTTGCCTGGGTGGATGGGGATGGGGGCGGGGGCGGAAGTGGAGGTGGGTGGTGGGATGAGGATTACAAATTTATCCACAGATGGGGATAGAGATAAAAATTATACCCGTTAACTAGGGTGGACAAGATATTAACAATATTTTTTTAAGCAAGTACAGGGATAAAAACTACACTCTCTTCCCCTACTTCGGTCCACGACCATCCCTATGACCTAATTTCAAGAGACTGCTATGGTCCAAATTTAGTACGCTTATATTTATGATTCATTCTTGTTATTACGTGCACTATCTTTTGAGGTGTCATATTAAATGGCTTATGGGATCCCATTCGAAAACTTAAAAGTGTTGAACAGCTATCTAGAAAACAAGAAGTTATTTTTCTTTTTCGTCTTGTTGTGGCCGGGTATGTTATGGAGCAAGCTGCCTAGAGAGTTTTGGATATAGTTGTCGCACCCTTTCATATAGGGACATTGACTTTAGAGATTGAATAGGACAAAAAAAGTTTTCTATTATATGGACCATTCATAACCACCCACTTTGAGTAAAGTAAACAAACATTAATATGTTTGCTTTAATGATATCCTAATTTGTTTATGACAAATAATGTCATAAAATTTAAAAAAAAAGGAGAGTAAGTGGGAGAATTTACATCCCAAGGTAAGCTGGTCAACGTATTCACTTCATTTGTGGATCAATGTATATATTTGGAGTTTGTGTCGTAACTAATAGCCTAAAAAATAAATAGTTTGAGGCGATTTTAAATTATACATATNTCATATTTCTTGACACGCAATAAGCATGCTGTAATTTATGTGCGATGAACAATCAAAAAAACAAAAAAATTAGAAGATGAACACAAGAATTTTAAGTGGTTTGATAATTTATCTATTTCCATTAAAGAANACATATCTAACACAAATACTTGACCATGGTGTTAAAAAAAATAATATTTAGGTGCCTTCATACCGAAATTTACTATATTTGTGATTACTTTTATTACTGTTGTTGATAAAAATACTTATCACAATAGTAATAAAATATAACCACAACAATGGTAAAAAGACTCATAAAAGTGATACATTTTGTTTATATTAAAAACAAGTGAAANCTATCTTCGAATTTGGCAGTAATTCAGCTCTTCTAGATTGTCTTTGCTACGATCTATAAGTGCACTATTACTTTCGAATCTGGTGTTCTTATTCTAACAAAATATATAAACCGTCCTGACGGTTTTATATTCATTCAATGTTGGATTCACAGATTCAGTATATCTTAAAAGTGAAGTTGGTCTATTAAATTGCATGGTTGTCTGTTGCCTTGGCCCATTAGCCCCACCATTAAGCAAGCTCATTGAAGACGAAGGAAGAAAAGGTAAAAGAAAAATGTGCACGGGGGGAGGTGGGGACGTAAAGGGGGGACAATAAAATCTTAAAGGATCCAACATGGAAGACTTTTACTTACACGAGCGCAGTAGTGTTTATGTTAAAACAGTACCTTCGTCGTAAAAAGAAATATAATTTTCCATGTGCACTTGTCTTGGATATATTTATCTATTTGTCTTCTTGTTCTCTCTCTCTCTCTCAATGTCAATTGCCAAAATAAAAAAGACAAACCCATGTTTTTGTAGTTATTCACCATCTCTGTAAGTCGAAACCAAATTCTCCTTTTCCTTTCTTAGGCTCAAATTGCCAGAGGCCTATGCATTTTTGAATTCAATCGTGGACATTGTGTCAGTTATACCTCTATTGAGCATATATATTGTGCACGTCACCACCTCATCATTTTCCGAACAAGTTATATTTGGCTATTGCATATTTTTGGATTTTTTTATGAAAATAAGTTAATTCAAAAATTTTACATTATCACGTGTGACTTTTTTATTAATTTTTGTTATATTATTGTGTCAAAACCGACCGTATTAAAGTTGATAGAATAAGTAACATAAACTAACCAAAGAGTTACATTATAATACTTTTAATACATTTAATATATATTGTAAGAAATCTAATTTTCAAGAGTATAAAATAATTTTTTTAAATCTTTTAGAGAGTAAAGTATAATTCACCCCACTAATTCCCACAATTGTTCAGAGTGTAGGCACACGCAACTTTTAGCCACCGCAAGTGTGTGTGTGTGTGTGTGAGAGGGAGAGAGAAGGGCAGGGAGATGTTATTTAATAATTTGTGGTTGGTCAAAAAATGATTATAAATGTTTAGTCTATCAAATGGTTAAGAAAAATTGAGGTGGTTTAGACTCAAATGACAATATTTGTCAACACATTAGGAGTAGACAATGATAAGTTAAACACTAGCTAATACTTTTAGAGATGAGAGTTGGGCTGGACCTAGACCTCAGGCATGGTAACTTGAATTGGTAATAACTTGAAAAGACATGTGTTGCAAAGTTAAGATGTACTACTGGTGCAACAAACAACTGGTTGTTACACTTATTAGTAAATGGATTAAGCAACACGATTGAAATGACGCAAACCACAATCTTTTGGTGCTTAATCTTTTGGATTTCCCAACAATGCAAGGTACTTGGAGTGTGATTGACCTTGATTAAGAGATCTTAGCTATGTTTTGTCACTAGATTTGAGTGGGGTCTTCAATGTGACATGTNATATTTTGTTTATATTAAAAACAAGTGAAAGAAATAATTATCACAACAGTCGTAAATCATTCACAAAAGTGATAACTTTTTAAGTTGTAAAATAATACAAAAAAATTATAAAAATATCTTTTAAAATAATAAATATTACAAGTATGATATCAATTTTTTTTTTTTTTAACAAAACCTTAGTCAAAAATATAAAACAATCGTTGCTTATTCAGGTAATTTGTGAATTTCATAAGATATTGAATCCACATTGTAATCAAAAAGGCTGTCATGCTTTGGTAGAGTATGGAATCCTCGCAATATGAGAAATGGTTGGAATTTTAATTGGGNTAGTGTTTATGTTAAAACAGTACCTTCGTCGTAAAAAGAAATATAATTTTCCATGTGCACTTGTCTTGGATATATTTATCTATTTGTCTTCTTGTTCTCTCTCTCTCTCTCAATGTCAATTGCCAAAATAAAAAAGACAAACCCATGTTTTTGTAGTTATTCACCATCTCTGTAAGTCGAAACCAAATTCTCCTTTTCCTTTCTTAGGCTCAAATTGCCAGAGGCCTATGCATTTTTGAATTCAATCGTGGACATTGTGTCAGTTATACCTCTATTGAGCATATATATTGTGCACGTCACCACCTCATCATTTTCCGAACAAGTTATATTTGGCTATTGCATATTTTTGGATTTTTTTATGAAAATAAGTTAATTCAAAAATTTTACATTATCACGTGTGACTTTTTTATTAATTTTTGTTATATTATTGTGTCAAAACCGACCGNTTCATATTTTTGGGTTTTTCTATGAAAATAAGTTAATTCAAAAATTTTACATTAGCACGTGTGACTTTTTTATTAATTTTAGTTATATTATTGTGTCAAAACCGACCGTATTAAAGTTGATAGAATAAGTAACATAAACTAACCGAAGGATTACATTATAATACTTTTAATACATTTAATGTATACCGTAAGAAATCTAATTTTCAAGAGTATAAAATAATTTTTTTAAATCTTTTAGAGGGTAAAGTATAATTCACCCCACTAATTCCCACAATTGTTCAGAGTGTAGGCACACGCAACTTTTAGCCACCGCAAGTGTGTGTGTGTGTGAGGGAGAGAGAAGGGCAGGGAGATGTTATTTAATAATTTGTGGTTGGTCAAAAAATGATTATAAATGTTTAGTCTATCAAATGGTTAAGAAAAATTGAGGTGGTTTAGATTCAAATGACAATATTTGTCAACACATTATGAGTAGACAATGATAAGTTAAACACTAGCTAAGACTTTTAGAGATGAGAGGAGGGCTGGACCTAGACCTCAGGCATGGTAACTTGAATTGGTAATAACTTGAAAAGACATGTGTTGCAAAGTTAAGATGTACTACTGGTGCAACAAACAACTGGTTGTTACACTTATTAGTAAATGGATTAAGCAACACGATTGAAATGACGCAAACCACAATCTTTTGGTGCTTAATCTTTTGGATTTCCCAACAATGCAAGGTACTTGGAGTGTGATTGACCTTGATTAAGAGATCTTAGCTATGTTTTGTCACTAGATTTGAGTGGGGTCTTCAATGTGACATGTCAACAAAATAAATCACTTTCAATTCCTTGAAATCAAGATAACCAATTTAATAGACATTAATTATAGAGTGGGGTCATGTACAATCATCAGTGACGACCACTTTCTTCAGTTATATGTCACTAATTACACAAATTGGTAATCCACAGTGCACGACTTTCATGATAATCATATGCCGTCGGTGAACAAGCTTTTTATTTATTTATTTTTGACACAAAAGTTACACAAACCCAATCACAAAAAAAAAAAAAAAAAAAAAAAAAAAAAAAAATNGATAAGCCACAATGCGCGACTTTCATGATAATCATATGCCGTCGGTGAACAAGCTTTTTATTTACTTATTTTTGACACAAAAGTTACACAAACCGAATCACCAAAAAAAAAAAAAAAAGAGTCACTGTTACTAACTCAAATTCAATCACACACTATTAGAAGCAATATAACCCAAACGCCACAGCAAAAGCACCCACAAAAATATAAATAGAAAAAACTCTTGTACATTCAACAGTTGCCAACTGCATCATTTGATCTTAGTTGAGGGAGAATTTGTATGGTAATCCGGACTCACACATGGCCCTGTAAATCAACATAATGTTAAGGCAAATATTCTGTACAGGAGAGTGACAATCGCGAGAATTATGATCTGATCAACAAGGGAGATTGTCCTTTTAGCGCTGCTGAGACGTTGATTTAGATTTGGAAACGAGTACTTGAGTTCAAAAGAAAATAAAGGCTGGCTTCCGATGTTGTTTGACTCAAAATTATCTACTTTCCCAAGATCAGAATTGAACTCTCCAAGGCTCCAGCATTCCTATTGTGAGAAAGCGTAAACTGAACCCCGTTAACTACAGGAATCTTAACAGTTTTGCATGTAAAAGAAGATCCCAATATAATGAATCACATTAGCAGTAGTCATGCATAAGAATTAAGGCAAAGATTAGCATATTGCAGTTAATTACCACAAGTTGTTCCGCAATGGTGACAACAATTGTTTCAGGGCTTGTGTTGAAAGACAAATGAGGTCTCTCTGATTTGACAGTACTGAATGCTCCTTGCCCTAGCAGAAGATTGAGCCGTAGATCATATTTGCATGAATCGTGGTCTATTTCATTATATGTATACGATCTTTGGTCTATGTCGTTAGCTGGATTGTATCTATATAAGCTCAGTATTGATTCAATTGGTTGAATAGTCTTTGTAGATTGCTTCCGCATACTCCCTGAGATAACCTGAGCCAATACTCCTGCAATTGCTCCAAGTTTACTAGAAATATTCTCCATCTTGTCCCTGCTAATGATTAAAAAAAAAAAAGTTTAGAAATTGACACGAGATTAGTATCGGTTTTTAGTATTCGGGAGCTGACAATTAGCATGGAACCGTCGTGTAACATAATTGTTTGATTGGAATTGGATAGCCAGGAAGCATGGATCTGCCTTTCTCCAAGTTTGTTGCATAATTTGATCAATAATGTAAGACTAATTAATTTTTTGTTTGTTAATTTTTCCTGACAAACATGGATTGTAGGATTGGTGGGTTTTATTGGGTTCCACCAACAACCAATGGTTTTGATTGCACCAAGTCCATTAGTGAGGGAAAGTGGATAAGAAAAATCAACAGAGCTGCAATATGGTGAAGTTTTAAACACCACTGTGATAGAATGAATGCAGGAAAAGACGCACGTCAATTAATGAGAAGTTGTTGGAAGATCAGAGTCAGATGACATTGGGGCTATTGGGGCCTTAGCCCCTTTTATTGAGATCAGTCCAAATCTGCTGACAGAGCCCGCCCAAATCCAGAATTAACAGTCCATGAGTAGTTTGCGACACTTGGGCTCAAGCGTTTCTGAGGCCTAAGATTGGGTTCTATAGTCAATACACATAATTGGGCTGTTACACTAAGTAGTCACAGTCCATAAGTAGTTTACCACACGTGGGCTCAAGCCTCAAGTGAGGCGTAAGTTAGGGCTCTATAGTCGATACACATACTTGGGCTGTTACACTAACGCAGTCCTAGGCGGTTGCTTCTATTAGTGCCAATTCCCTGATTAACGCTACGTTGATCAACTTTTAGAATTAAATTTAGAGTTTAAATGACATGACAGTTTATTTGAACTTTTTTACTTTGTGTCATGTCATTTAAGTTCCAATAAATACTATAAATAATTTACTGTCATGTCATTTGAGTTCTAAATTTGATCTCAAAATTTGATTAGCGCAGCATTACTCTTCCCTAATACATATCAAGGGACTATTCAGCCCATCAATTTTTTGGGTTCATACTTCAGACTCCCACTACTGTAAACGTGAAGGGATAGCTTAAGTAATAATAGAAATCAGTTATAAATTCAGACGTTATAAATTTGAATTTCGATAATATATTATGGTGTCAAGCCATTAAAAAATTATCTTTTCGTGAATGCTCCAGTTCTAACGTGAATGATCTACATTTGACTAAACTTGTATCAAATTCTAAGTTTCGGATAATTATTTTCACCTGAAACTTTGATATTGGTCACCTCTGATAGCTTGTTTTGCAGCCTTTTCCGCCATTGCCTCGTTTGAGTGGCACCACACGAACTCTTGGCGATCACCATAACGTCGACAACAGTCCATTGATAATCCAAAAACCCATTTAGCTTCAGCCAAAGTTGCTCGTAACTCCTCCACAGTTATTCCATGACCACTAATCCGAAACACTCCAAATTCCAAAGCCGACCTCAAAAGCCGCTCGACTGACTCACTGTCGCGCCATTTAAGTGATTGATAATCAACCACTGCTGGAACGAAACCACGAGGTACGTGTTCCGGGAAGGTCAATTCAGGAACATGTTTTGATCTATCGATGAATTCTGAGAACACCGGACTAGCAGCCGATCGCGAACCTTTGCCTGTTGGTATCGGAGGAGGTGGCAGTGCCAGTTCAGATGAAGATGATGAGGACACGGGACTTCTGTTGTACATGGTCGTCGCTATAGTTGATTTCTGTGTGTTTTGATTAGAATAGAGAACTTTCAAGCTTGAGAGGGGACTTGTGAGCTTTTTCGGGTGGAAAGACACTTTGGAAATAAAATGCATGGCCCATTCCCATTGTCATTGTGGTGGAGCACATTAGGCGTAGTAGGCACGTCTTCTTATTTGTATCGAATATTTCAAAACTAATGAAATAGAAAGCATGTACGCCGTTGCGATATGATATCACTGCAATAATATTATAAAATTTTAAAAATAAGATACAAATGTACGATCAAGATAGACTTATAAAAANTGATTAACGCTACGTTGATCAACTTTTAGAATTAAATTTAGAGTTTAAATGACATGACAGTTTATTTGAACTTTTTTACTTTGTGTCATGTCATTTAAGTTCCAATAAATACTATAAATAATTTACTGTCATGTCATTTGAGTTCTAAATTTGATCTCAAAATTTGATTAGCGCAGCATTACTCTTNAGTAAATAATAGTTAAAACACATCAACATTTTTTCTAAATTTTCTTTTGAAATCGTTGTATTTGAATTTGAGAGGAAACATATTGCATACCTACTGAATGTGGGCCGAGAAGCCTTGCTTTTTGCCCGATCAAATACGGATAGTGATTTATTTTGCATCCCACAAATACTTATATTTGATCACTTTATTAAATCTCTCCTTTCAATAAAAAGTGTTATTTAGTAAAACATGACTAATTAGTAGTTGAATTTAATGGAAACGGGGGAATACAAGGAACCATGATGAATCTGGGCCTACATTTTTAGCTTTTGGGCTTTCATTCTTAGAAAAATGCTTAAAGGCTAAAGCTTTCTTTGCCTAACTAGAATATCGAGCAAGCTGGCCGGGTCCTTTAGTTGCTATCGAACTAGACTTACTTTAAGTTGGGGTACAGTGGTTGCACCATATCAATACAATTTGTTGAATTAATAATTTCCACTGACTGTACCAACCACACAGTGTTTGAAATGTTACCACATCATTTGTTACACACCACCAAAAATACCATGAAGCCAAGGTTAGGCATTTGACACAATAACCGTCATAAAATGGATTCATATATGTTTATAATTTTCTATCTGAGAATTTGTATCGTTAACCATATTCGAGAATAGACTATGATCTTCTAATAGATGGTGAGATGATTATGTACAAACCTTTTTCCCTTTTAACTCCTCTAAACTTTGGATCAATGGCTCCAAAACTAAAGAAGGAGGACAATGAGAAGTCTATGATTATATCGTCGTAACATGATATAATCACTTATTAAGTACTTTCATTTCAAAATCATTACTTCATAGTTAGTGTAACAATTTTCACATAGTTTTTTTTTATCAGGCAAAAGTAATTATTTCATTTATGTTTGAAAAACTAAATTACAATCAGTTAAGATAGAAATATTAAGTTCGGGTGGGAGAGAGCTAACCCAATTCAGCGGAAGCGAGTTATTCATAGAAGAGTTTGCCACCTAATGAGCACTCTTGTTACTGGTTCTAAACTTGTGTAGAAAACTAAGTTTATGTAACATAGTTTTTGGAGCAGTCATTCATGATTGTGATATTTGCCATTCGTTTGGAATCTGCTAGATGACATGCTTGTCGCATCGCCGCTACTTCTGAGTAAAGACTGGACACAGCTGAAATGGTCTTTGCTACTCCATCCAAGAATTCTCCCTTTGAGTTTCATAACACAACTCCACATGCAGCCTCAGAGGTTTTGGAATTGAAAGCACCATCACATCTAAGTACGATTCCTGGCCCTGTATCTTGTAGTCTATCCTCATTGAGCCCGGGATCATTTGGCGTCTTTGGATTGTTTACAACTTCTATCCCATTTACTTTATTCCACATACTTTGTGCTCAGATGGCAGTAGCATAGGCATCAGGCTCATCGTAATTAAATACTTTTTGATTCCTTGCCTTCCAAATTATGTTATAAAAAATATGTATATAGTTAGATTATATTAAACTATATAAAATCTAACTTATGCATTAATCTAAACAAAATGTATAGAAATCAAAACCATTGTACTTACATTGACATAGAACAACACGAATAGTAAAATCTAGAAAACCATAAATTCAGAAATTCAATAATAAAACTATAATCCAGCCCTGTGTAATCACAGTTTGCTTAAGACAAATTTGTTCTCTCTTGGTGATTAAGGTTAATAAGCAACTATCTCCCAAGATATGACGAATTTCATTCTTGAAGATGCAGCACTTCAAAATCTAAGACTTCAACGAACACAATTATGAGTTTATACTTGAACTGAACTTGAAATAATAATGCAGTAATATGCAACGAGAGAGAGAGAAAAAAAAAGACTGAATAATTAATTCAATATTTTCAATAATTGAGAGAACTGGAATAAGAGATCAATTCTTGAATTATTCAATGGTATGTTTTGAGAGTTCAAAGAATCACTTATTTATAATCTCCCTAGTGGCTTTTCATAAAGGGTGTAACCATATATAATGGTACCTTTTAATCCAAAGAATATGAATGGTGACTTTATGAAAAGGTATAACCATTTAAAATAGTATTTTTTAGTCTAAGAGATATCAATGATGACTTTATGAAAAGTTGTGACTATTTGTGTCTTTAACCAAAATGTGTTAATGGTGATTTTATGAAAAGATGTAACTATTTGGATTGGTGTCTTTAATTAAAAATCACCAATTTTGAATTAGTAACCTTTCATGTCATATTTACTTCACATATTTTTAATTGCTCCAAAAAATCACATAGACTTTAACAACCTTTTCAATTGCTACCAAAAGTCACAAAGATTTTAACAATTTCTCATTCAATACNTTACTTCATAGTTAGTGTAACAATTTTCACATAGTTTTTTTTTATCAGGCAAAAGTAATTATTTCATTTATGTTTGAAAAACTAAATTACAATCAGTTAAGATAGAAATATTAAGTTCGGGTGGGAGAGAGCTAACCCAATTCAGCGGAAGCGAGTTATTCATAGAAGAGTTTGCCACCTAATGAGCACTCTTGTTACTGGTTCTAAACTTGTGTAGAAAACTAAGTTTATGTAACATAGTTTTTGGAGCAGTCATTCATGATTGTGATATTTGCCATTCGTTTGGAATCTGCTAGATGACATGCTTGTCGCATCGCCGCTACTTCTGAGTAAAGACTGGACACAGCTGAAATGGTCTTTGCTACTCCATCCAAGAATTCTCCCTTTGAGTTTCATAACACAACTCCACATGCAGCCTCAGAGGTTTTGGAATTGAAAGCACCATCACATCTAAGTACGATTCCTGGCCCTGTATCTTGTAGTCTATCCTCATTGAGCCCGGGATCATTTGGCGTCTTTGGATTGTTTACAACTTCTATCCCATTTACTTTATTCCACATACTTTGTGCTCAGATGGCAGTAGCATAGGCATCAGGCTCATCGTAATTAAATACTTTTTGATTCCTTGCCTTCCAAATTATGTTATAAAAAATATGTATATAGTTAGATTATATTAAACTATATAAAATCTAACTTATGCATTAATCTAAACAAAATGTATAGAAATCAAAACCATTGTACTTACATTGACATAGAACAACACGAATAGTAAAATCTAGAAAACCATAAATTCAGAAATTCAATAATAAAACTATAATCCAGCCCTGTGTAATCACAGTTTGCTTAAGACAAATTTGTTCTCTCTTGGTGATTAAGGTTAATAAGCAACTATCTCCCAAGATATGACGAATTTCATTCTTGAAGATGCAGCACTTCAAAATCTAAGACTTCAACGAACACAATTATGAGTTTATACTTGAACTGAACTTGAAATAATAATGCAGTAATATGCAACGAGAGAGAGAGAAAAAAAAAGACTGAATAATTAATTCAATATTTTCAATAATTGAGAGAACTGGAATAAGAGATCAATTCTTGAATTATTCAATGGTATGTTTTGAGAGTTCAAAGAATCACTTATTTATAATCTCCCTAGTGGCTTTTCATAAAGGGTGTAACCATATATAATGGTACCTTTTAATCCAAAGAATATGAATGGTGACTTTATGAAAAGGTATAACCATTTAAAATAGTATTTTTTAGTCTAAGAGATATCAATGATGACTTTATGAAAAGTTGTGACTATTTGTGTCTTTAACCAAAATGTGTTAATGGTGATTTTATGAAAAGATGTAACTATTTGGATTGGTGTCTTTAATTAAAAATCACCAATTTTGAATTAGTAACCTTTCATGTCATATTTACTTCACATATTTTTAATTGCTCCAAAAAATCACATAGACTTTAACAACCTTTTCAATTGCTACCAAAAGTCACAAAGATTTTAACAATTTCTCATTCAATACTTAGTAATTTTTTAAATAAATATACCATTATTTAAAACAAATTATCCATCCCATTGTGGCTATCTTCCCTAACATTTCATATCACCTTAAGAGTCTCTCATGATTTCCAGAATCTGAGAAGAACTTTGAGCAATTGAAACAAAGGAGGCCTTCTCCAAGTTATATGCCATTTTAACTCCAAAAAAAGACTCTACTGGTCCATTCACATTTGAACATAGTGTGCCAAATAGATTTTGAAAAATGCCTACAAATTTGGCACAATGGCGATGAGGCAAATTTTCTCTTATATAGATTCTCCTGTGTTGCTAAGATGTTATGATAGGCTTTCCACCAAATTTGTATAACCTTTGGCACAATTTTTATATTTCAAATGACCTACCAATGATTAGGATATAGGGAGAAGGAGGTGATAGAGTAATATACTAAAAACTTACTTTTTGTAGTGAAATTCATTTTATTAATTAATAAAAGTTTGTTCTTTCCATTTTATTGAGAATTTGTATGGGTAAAATGCTTGTATTATATTTAATATATGGTATGTATGTGTGTATTATATTTTACATTGTAGATAATCTGGTGTGTAGAGTTCGACTTATACACAGAAAATTATATTATCGAATTCTTGTAT